CATCAAAATTTTTAAAACTTTCGACTTTATAATAAATTATGAAAACCTGTCCGACCATTAAAAAGTTTTAAAAGTTTATGTAAATTTTGAAATTTATAACTTCCCCTCAAATTGTTTTATACTTCCAATTTTGATTGATAAAACTACCCGTTTCATATTACAGTTTGAGAAATATAAATTAATATTGCTTACTTATTTATTTTTTCGTAAAAATTTCACAACTTTATAAACTTTAAATCAAAAATTTATTAAATTTTTTTAATTTCTCTATATAAAAAAATTACTAAACTTTCGTAAATTCGAAAAAATAATTTAGGCGTTTATTTTATTTTCACATTAAAAATAGCTTTATTTCAATTCTAAAAATAAAAAAATATATCAAAATAAAATAAATTCAAATAAATGTATTTCCAAAGTTTTTGGCCAGTTATCTTTTTCTAAATAATTCTGTCCTGTAAAAGTTAGCTAAAATGATAAAATTGTATGAAGTATTTTAATTAGTAGAATTATCGGAATTAGCATCCATTTACCTATTTTGCATATTGTCTATTAAAGCAATAATGAATTGATTTTTGTTGACACTAGAGTGCCTTCTGTTTTCCTTCAATATTACTAATCCAAATTTATTTATTTCCCTAACTTCTTAAGCTATTTTCATATCTCCTTTAGAAAATATTAAACAAATCATTCATTCAGGAAAAAAAATATTTAGAACTTAGCAGGCATATCCTAAAATGACTTTCGAACACGAATCGTTCGCTTTATTGATTCTTTCAACTTTAAGTAAACTGATAGTTCCTGTCGGAAACTTTAAAGAGAGATTGGATTTCAAATAAACATCATATATCAAAGTGAGATCTAACAATTCACCAATAATAGGGCTGTCAGCCTGTTAAATTTTTGCAGTCGCTAAATTTGCTGAATTTTAAAAATAGGGCCTCATAGTTATTCGAAACTGAAGTACTAACATTGCTAGATACCTGTCGTGCATTCAGGTTACCTTCCAATTATCAGTAAACGAATTCCCTATTCAGACGCTATTTGATCCAGTGCCTTTTGATTTTTGTTAATCTGAATAAAAACATATTCTGCGTTAATAAAAACTTTACAGTGATTAACAAATGTAACATTTTTTAATGCATTGAACACCGGTAATTCTTAAACGGTGATTTAAACAATAAGCAGTGTATGATTGATAGAAATAATTGTACATTAATTTTTGTGTACTTCACCGCTGATTCGCTCCAACTGTGAATGCAGGGTTAAAAATAAGGAAACACATTCATCTCGTTTATTGTTTACTATTAATTCTATTAGTTTCCATATTTCAATTAAACTATTTTGCTTTATATTAATTGAATTCGTCATTTTTATAAAAAAAATAGTGATTTTAATCATGATTGAAAGTTTCCGTTTCTTTCATGAGAGCCATGTTTAGAAACATAATACTATTATCAACCAACTCCTATTACTTTCTGGCTTATGTAGAAGATCACTTTATATAAATGAAACGCATCAAAGCTTATATTTTGTTCTGTAGTCTGTAATTAATCGTCCAAATCGAGTAAAATTAGTGATCGATTTATAATATATTGATATAATTTGTAACCGATTAATATTCAATAATATTATTTTGACTTAAATTGTTGTTGTTATTGGAGATTATTTTAAAATTACCCAAAACCAAAAATAACGCCTGTTTTTGACATTTTTGTCTATTTTACCAATCTTTGCAAGCAAAATTTTGAATGTAGTTATATTTTGACGGAAATGATTTTAAAAATGGTTTTATGGTTAGTTCCTTCAAGATTCTAATGATGTAATCATTATATTTTGGATAACTAACTTTGAGGATTAAATTAATAACGCCATTTTCGAATTTCGTGTTTTAGTCATTTGTTTTAAATGATCTAAACTAATTTTAGAGTGATGATAAGATCGTCTGCTTTTTAAAGATCTGTAACAACAAAGTTCGACATTATTTTTTCCGGAAAATATTTTTTGAATTTTTGATTTCAAATGCCCTGTGGAATTCCAATTGACCGGATTGTCAAGAAGAAAATTCTTGATTCACATAATAAAGGAATAAATAGCCATCATAATACTTCACGCAAGCAGAGAAAATAGGAGACAGTATTGATAAATTGAAAGATCTCATAGTATCTACACACATTGATCTTGTAGGGCTTCCAAAGGTGACATCATCTAAAGATAACGATAGTTTTCATAAAATTATAAGAGAAAGCGACTCAAATCTTGTTTTGTTTGACTCAGAGATCGAGTGATGCAACAAAAAAAAGAAGATTTTATCTATCACTATCTACAACAGAATGCAGTATAATTTGGGTTATATTTTATATAATTTTTTCTTAAAAATTTTATACCATAACTGTACTTATTAGTTTGACATTAGGTTAAGAAAAAAAATCACTATTGACAGTTATCCCAAAGAAGAAACGTAACTATTTCTCAAATATATCTAAAGATTGAATATTTACCGAATGGGCAATAGTTGTTTTGGCAATGAATCTAAGTTTGTATTAGAATTTGAGTGCACAATAATGTAATTAAAAATATTTGGGAAATTAAATATCTAAGCACTGGCAGGCATTGTTCCGATTCAGCTCCTTATCAAAGCTAAAGGAAACGTCTTTAAATTTTGAACCATATTAATAATTGTTATATCCACGAATCATATAGGATATTTTGTTTTTAACCTTTTTTTAAAAAAAAAAATTCTTCTATATATCCACAATTATATGTATTTTTTAATATTATTATAATTATGACAATAAATAAAATATTTTCTCCTATCTTAATAAAAAATGACCAAAAAAAATGTTTATAACAACGCCAACCTGAACCGTTTTCAAACCGGTTTTTGGAAATTAACCTGAACCGAGATTTTTATTACGAGCCGAACCTGAACCAATATTCGTTTCGGCTCCCTGGTATAAACATAAATATTTTACGAATATTTTGTAAAATAAACTTTTCTTTATCTTTCCGACTATTTAAGCTACCCTTCTAAGTATGCATCATTTCATAAAAAATTTCAATGGATTCTAATAATAAACGAATTTACAACATTTTAAAATTTAAAAAATGTAATTATATTTAATATACTATAAATATATTTGTTAAACTAATTTCCCTTCCTGTTCTGTCCAGTATATCCACCGCAGACTGCGATTTGCAGGAGTATGTTTCTACTTCTAAGTTGAACCAACAATCCTCCAAAGAAAACAGTCTCGATTTAATTATATAAATATTAATGAGTTAAGATAATTTCAAACGAAAATGTAGGTATTTTCTAAACCTTATAATCGGGTTTTTATAATACTCCACACGAATTGTCTTATAACGACACCACTTCCAGATCATATATAGCATTGCCGATATTTTAACGGCGGAGATACCGGAAAGTAATAAAAAAATATAATATCGACAATGCCTTGAAAAGTAAATATCCTTTCAAACGTGAAATACGTCTCAATAATATTTTATTTTTTTGGAATGTAGGCGGAGCCTGAGATTACGCTTGCAACAAAACCAAGCTCTCCACAATTTATGGGCCTTCCAATAAGGGCGAAACCTAATAGATTAGCCCTTATCCTATGAGAGAAATGATAACCCCACTGGACTTTATCTGCATAGATATATTTCCCGATAGAACACTTATGAGAACTGCCAATCCTCGGCTGAAAACCTTAAACGAAATAAATACTCCTCTTCAAATAACATAATTTCCTAGGGAAAGATTATTAGCTATATCTGGCGACTCAAATGAATATTTTTAATAGAAGCAAAATAAATAGAAATGTGCAGAACTTATCTATTTTCTATCCACAGTTCCATATGATATTGTTTTAGCAGTCTTTTTTTATATATATTATTGGCTCCTTGTTATATTCTTTCCTTGTATATATAAATATATATCTTATTTTTAATTGCTACATAAAACTTTAATTTTATTTCGATTATTTTTTTAAAAAATATTATAAAATTGAATTATAATTGTTAAAATAAATCACATGACAGGATATTTACTGAAGGCAATCCTTTTCAAAAACCTATGCCTACCCCCCCCCCCCACCCCCACTTCCCAAGAATCCCCTCTCCTGGCTATTCTCCTGTTATTATTTAACATGTTTTTATTAATAATGGCATTCTCTTCATACATTTTTAAAAAAAGTAACTTATAACTCAACTATCAACTATCAAAAAATAATCGTTAAATAACAAGAATTAAATTAAAAACCTTCCCTTCATTTGCGATGAATTTATTATTATAATATATTATTTGGCATGAATAGGAGTTTGCTGATAGAATATAATGTATAACCCTTTTGAATTACATATAAAAATATAACAAGTAAAGTTCCAGAAATAAGTTTACTTGAAAAATAATAACTATGATTATGTGTTTGGTCGATGTTTAGCTGTATATTATAATAGATCTGTAAAAAAGTTTTTAATAAATTTTTACAGCAGTTTGCCCTATTTCCATATGCCTACCACCCCCACCCCCTCTTTCAAAAAATTTACAGACAAAATATTCATACCCCCTACCCCTTCTCCATTCGTTAATGTAAGTGCTATATTCAAATATTTAAAAAAAATATTCAATAAAATCGACATTTAAATTTAATTATAATTGTGTAGATTGATTACATTAGTAAATTAAATATTCTTAAATATTTTTATCCAACAACTTTAAAAAAAAAATTTATATAATACAAAAAATATTATAAATAAATTTATCTTTTTTTTTTCGAGGAATAATAAAATTTACGCGAAATATTTTACTACAAACGTGTTTTACAAATGCGTAAAAAAAATAATAATAAATAATTCATTTAACGATAAACAAATAATAATAAAATCGATATTTTGAATTTTGAACGTAAAATATCGAAATAATCGTTATTCAGCTTTAAATTTTTTTATAAGAATTAAATAGATAAAAACATTTTGTTTATTTTATTTTTATTAAACTCTCATTTTTATATTATAAATTTTGTGATCTCGAATTTTTTCTTTTTATACTAATTAAAGTTTATTTATAAATTAATTAATTTCTTTCAATTATTTAAATTTAATTTAATTACCAAACCTCAAAAATATTCATTATAAAAAACGAAAGCAACAATTTCTTATAAAAAATGTCGTCTGCTAATGGTCAACATCTTTCTAATGGAGACGCTACAAATAATAGCGAAAATATCACCAGTACTAGAAAAAGGCAATTCGAAGAAACGGAAAATCTGAAGAATAATAAAGATACATTAATTGACAAAAAAAGTAAGAAACATCCCGAAGGCGAAAATGGTACGTTTAATATACCTTTCTTTCTTATAATATTTAAAAATTTCGTTATTTATAATATTTATTTTGAATAATGTTTTTATTATATGGTTTTTATAAAACTTAACAGCCCACGAAAATAACCGTCATTTAGACGATTACGACGATGAACATACGGGAGATTCTATCGAAGGTAAGCAGGTATACGAGGTGGAGGAACATGATTATCTGGAAGAAGAGCCAGAAGACAGCGATTTTTCCGGCGAAAATGAAGGAGTTCACGACAAAGATAGCGACGAAGCAGACGATATCGAAGATTTACCGGAAAGATTTAAGGAACTGAAATGGGAAGATACTTACGTAGAAAAAATGGCATCATTTGTAGGAGCGAAAGGTAAATAATAAAATTAAATACAAATAAATAAATATTATTCATATAAAAAGGAATTTTTGAAAACGAGTAAATATGTTAATATCCAAATTTCGTTTTTTGCAATAATTTTACATTTCATTTCTTATTGCTTTTTCTGCAAATGTTTGCGTTTAGTGATTTAAATGTTATTATCCATTTATTTATCGATAATATTTAATTTATATTTTACATTACTATACAAAAATATTTTATTTGGCAATGATTTTTCGCTTTAAAAAAAAGCTTACTAATAACATACATGCTAACAAGATAAAATCGATAATCTTTGACGTTAATTTATATATTTTTTTGTCTATTTGTCCCCCTGATTTGTGAATCTTTAATTTGTTTATTTTTCTTTTTAAAACAAGAAGCGTGAAATTGTTCTTCATTATTAATTGATTTTATATTTATAAATAAGACTTGGCAGGATATTGATAAGAATATTTTAATCTTAGCATTTTCATTTTAAGCAGGCTATAATGCCAAATTTAAGCTTTCGAATGGTTTAATGTTTTATCTTCAAATATTAAAGAAAAGGTACATAAAAAAGATACTATAATACCTTACACTTTTAAAATATGGAAATTCTTCAAAATTAATACAACGAGAAATAACCAGACGATAATTTCGATTGACATTTTTGAAGTTCTTTTTTTTGTTAATGGGAGATTTCTTGTTCTTAATCTTTTATAAACATGCGCTATAACTCGAATTGCTCTGGTGGTGTAGCCGTAACCTTATTATTTATACTTAAAGATATTCATCAACATATTTCGAACAGTAAATAAATCATCAAACAATTATCCTAGGGTTGTTGGAAAAAATATTACGCAAGCCTGAAGATTTTTGTTCGGTAAATGGCACAAATATTTGGTCATGTATTCGCGAAATATAGTCTTACTCCTCACGAATTATACAAAATACACTGCATTTTTGTATTCTACGCCGCGATATTCGCGCTAACATTTGAATTCAGGGTTAGGCAATATTTTTCTGGCTAAAATATGGAATTTAACAACGCCCTATTACCGACAGAAAATTATAAATTAAAAAAAAATTGATAAGTTGACGTTAATTATCGACATTTTTTTAAAAAAATAAACATCACAAAATCTAATCCCATACCTTGGTATACTTATATTTTTTAAATTATCACACAATTCACTTATTTATTTTTAAAAATTATTATAATATATAATATATATAAAAAAAATTAATATTTAAGCGTAAAATAAACTTTTTATTTTAAAGGTAAGATATAAATGACAAATTAATTAATTAATTATTCAATTTTTTTTTTTACCTTTTATAAACTAATTACATTTTTATACAAGATTCCATTTCTATCTATTTTTTGTGTTTGTTGTTAATGAAAAGAAAGAAAGAAAACACTAACCTAATATAATAAAATATTATCATTATTTGCACAATCGCCTCACCCATCATTCATTATGAAAAATATAAAAAATAAATACAAATTTTTATAATTATGAATCCTTCCCTTTTTCACCATTTATTTATTTCTTTTTATTGATTTGGGACACGGACTAGTGAATATTTAAATAAGTTTTTATTACCTGTTTAAAAAAAAAATTGTATGATATTTTGTCAGATTGAAAGGTAATAACAATGGTGGATAAGGGGCGGGTATTGGGAGGGGTGAGGGTTAAAAAGAAATAAATATTAGTTTTTTTTTAAAAAAAAAACCAACATTAAGTTTATATGATATGATATGATATCAATGAAGTTATTAATAAACTTCAAATAGAATTATTTAGATAATTTTTTTTTTAAATGATGTCATGACCAATTACCAGTAATATAATATGATTCTGTTGAAATATTTCCATAATGTAAAATGACATTCTTTATATGGTTAAATAAACTTTCCCGTAATTATTTGTATAAAAAAACATTTTGATATAAAAAAAATTTTTATTAATAATTTAAAAGTTTTAAAAAGGTTAAAATGAAGAATAACGTCAAAAGTTTATGGAAAATTTTTTTTTAAAAAAATGTGAAAACGTTCGCATTAGTGTTGTTAAATGGCTCGTTATGAGCCGAATTTTAAAAACTGCCAACTCAATATTTCACCCAGAACACTATTACGCAAGCCTGAAGATTTTGTTTGCAGAAGGAACAAAGGTTTGGGCATCTATTGGCGAAATCTCGAGGCTTGGCAATATTTTTCTGGCTAAAATATGAGTTATTTTAAAAATCGGCTCAAAACGAGCCGTTTAACAACACTAGTTCTAATATAGTTTTTCTTATGTTTTGGGACATAGGTTTAAAGTGGGAAAATGTTTTATAATTTTTTCAAAAATTTAAAAGTATTATTCAAATATTTTAATTTTACTTTTAGTTATCTAAAGATTGGAAATTAGGATATGAAATTTAGATTAATTTCTTAATAAACATAATGAAAAATTCGAATTTAGGGTTTTCAGTTCGTTCTTATTTGTTTAGATTTTTTTTTAATGGTCAATTCGAGGACATAAAAATAAAATAAAACCATTTGCTGTTCATTTATTGTAAGTATATAAAATATTATGCATTACAAATCAATTATAAATTCAATCATTTAAAGGAATGCATCGAATTCCATTTTCAACAAATTTTGTGGTGTGAGAATAAAAATTTGAAAAATTATATATAAAATAACTGCCAAAAATATGCGTAGCAGTAACAATATACTTTCTATTCGGTTAATTGGTTTCGGATAATTTTGAACGGTATTAATTTTTAAGAACTTCGCAAACATTTTCGATTGGTTTTAATTATGGCGAATTAGAGTGGTAAAAAGTATAATATTCGGTTAATTTCCACTAATTATACCTCACTCGATGAATAGTAGCTTTATCCATTATTAGCAATGAATTCGTTGGTAAAATTGATATAATTCATCGACCAACATCTATTATTCTGAGGTGTCATTGAATTATATGGTTAAAAAAACATTCTATTCTAATTTCAAATTGTTCCTTTTTACATAGTTTTATTATATTCCAAATAATTATGGCATATATAAATATTTTCTCTCATAAATTTTATTTATATTATGCAGGAATTAGTTACCCTGATTAAATAAAGTATGTAATGTCCATAACAATCCATCAAATTTTCTGACACCTCTCTAGACGCTTAAGAAAATTATAGGGGAACCCCATATCAAATTGAATATTATGTTTCTTTAGATAGAAATGAACAATTATTATATCCAAACTCTAGAAATTGTCTCAAAACGACTTTAAAAAGAGTTAATTAATAAAAATACAAGTCCAACTCCATTTTTATTGGTCGAAAATATTATTCTCACACGTGATCTATTTTTATTCGAAAACTGTATATACAGATTGTGGAATAGGAGTGATATATTTTTCTTCGAATATTATTACTACAATATTTAGAATTGGGAAAAATGTATGAAATAAATTTCAACGAATTAAAACAGAAATTGGCGAAAATAGGCATGTAATCAATGAAACATTCTATATAATAACAAATACTAATACAATAGGATTATAGTTTTAACACCACGATTATGGCCGAATTATAGATATTATTTAATTATTTTTAAATGCATATAAATGCAATATAATTTTATTTGAATTGTGTAGGATAATTTTAAATTCACAATTTCTGTTGTCACAAATGCCATAATTTATGTAACGGCCAGTGCAAAAACCATTTGATTTAAGATCTTAAGATAAATTCTTCAACCCTAAAATCATATATATTATTCATTTGATATTTTTAAAATATACCCTATTTTATAGGAATAGGAAAACGTCAGTAAATATACCCTATAATATATAGGATCGATATAAATACGAATATTTTCTAATTTGAGGGATGTAAGTTTGATAATTTCAATACAACATTTAATTTAATTTAAATACATTTTTGCATAGGAAGTGTCAAGAGTTAAATTGTAAAAAGCTATGGACAAAATGTTGAAGAATATTAATGGTCAAACATTATATTCTTTAATAGTATTATGATAGCTAATTAAATAGTACTAGTAGCTAACACGTCGAGAATGATGGGCTAATTAACTTTTTTGCCTGCAATTTTTTTTTAAACCTTTTTATTTATAATTTTAAGCCAAATTAAGTTATTATTGTTAGATGAGGGTTTTTCATAATTTATTTACCCCATTAACTACTCTTTTGAAATTTAATTCGGAGTTCAATGTAGTCGATTTATGCCGATTTTTAAAAGTGGCTACTCAATATTTTAGTCAAAAAAAATATTGCCTAAGCTTCGAAATTTCGCTAATAGATGTCCAAACCTTTGTGTCATCTATGAGCAAAATCTTTAGGCTAACGTAATATTTTTTTTAATAAAACGTTTAGTTAGCCGTTTTTAATGGCTCAAATCGAACCGTTTAACAACACCAGCTAGTTCGAAAATATAATAATATTTGAAATTACGTTTATGATGTTAGCCCTCCTCGAATGTTTTTGCTATAAAAAAAATATATATTTCGGAAACTTGAAGAAGAAAAACATATAAGCATTTTTTGATTGGGAATTTAATTCTATATTCAATTATATAATAATATTTTGAAATTATGTCTAAGATGTTAGCCTTTTCTCCCTGAATGTATTCGCGACAAAAAAAAAAGAACCGAAAACGTTAAAAAAAATACATCTTAAAATTTATATTTGTCATTTTAATTCTTAATCTGCTACTTGCAATAACTTTATACTTACTTTCAATTTAGTTTTGAAAAAATAACATAAATAGAATAAAAATATAATCCATTTTTTTAGAAATATTTATTCATATAAAATCATAGCTGATTAAAATTTCCATTTTTTTAAAAAATATATGTATAATGTTATTTTGCATATAATATTTTTATATTTAAGTCTGTGTCTAAAATATCAAAAAGATTTAAATTCACAAATTTTCGAAACATTAATAAAAAATAAATAAATAAGCTATTTTAAAATATAAAAATAAAATCATGTTTAAAACCCAAAACATAATTCTAGAAAATTTTATAAATCTCAAAAATTTAACATACGATTTTTCATAAAATTAAGATTTGCGATAGTTTTGAAACTTTGGTTTGGACACAAGCCTAAAATCAAATCATTTTCCCCATTAATTATTTTCTATTCTTATTTTCAATTTTGCCTGATCATCGAGACGAGACAATAAGGAAGCAAGTTATCAATTTAAAAGTAGTTTTTTAACATGAGAATAATTACCATATGGGTTACCAAAATGGCGGGTCCGGCTGATTGGCATTCAACGACACTTTCAAATGCATTATTATGAATGCATCGTCAGTCTAGGTATTATTTATGTCATTGTTATAACCGTAATCGGGCCATTTTTAAAAATCGACCCAAAACGGGCTTTTTGACAACTGCACCCTTTCGACTTATAGATCTACAGACCTATTAGATAAAATATCTCATATATAAAGTTTTTATGGGTTTATAGTGCTTATAAAAGGCACAGAAGCGTTTATAGCGTTACCTTTTCCCTAGAATTGCTTAAATTGAAGTAGCATTTTCTAAAAAAAAATAAGGAACAAAATTACACGTTTACCATACATTATTTAAAGCACTTAAATTTGTAAGCTATATTAGAGGCCGTCCTGGCTGCGATTCAAAACGCTTCCTTCAAAGTCAATTTCCTATATTTTAACATTAAAAGCCTTTTAAAGAAGTGGATCAGCCAGGCTAGGAAAAAAAAATTTAGACTAAAAATAAATATTTATCCAATTTTACTAATTTTTTTATTTTAAAGCGAAATAAAAATAAATATATCGCTGATTTTAGTAAATAATAATTATATATTTTTAATTCCTCTAGGATAAAAATTTTTTTTTAATAAGATCAAATTAAATTATTCAAAATCAATAATAATAATAAACCTTCCTTAATAAGGTGAGCATACAAGATTTTTTTTTTGGTCAACATAGAAATATTGATGTGATTTACTATTAGGGATTTGACGGCAAGGAGGACCAACTTAAAGGGGTCAAAATCCTTTTTTTTTTGAAAGTTACACTTTTAGAGGGCCCTCTAAATCTTGTATTATATTTAAAATATTTCCATTCTGACCATTGTCCGCATAATAGTGCGCATAAATTGAGCGTTTACGTTTTGCCGTAATTTTTAAATTAAAAAAAAACGTAACGCTTCTTCCCTTGTTTAAATTGAGGTTGTCTTTTTGTTAATATCCGTCGATATAAAATAAAATAAAACATTATTTTATAAAAACGGAGGTGGGACTACAAGTTCCCAAAAAACATGAATAGTTATATTTTAAAATAGTTATTTGTAGGTTTTGTTTTAAAAAATAGAATTCTTTTGGTTCTGATGTAAGGGCTCTTATCTCATCGCCTATATTTTTTAAGAATTTTAAAGTTCCGCTTGGCATAGGGAAGAGATAACGATTGGTGTAAAAATATAATTTGTGAATTTGGAATATTACATTGTTTTTATTTCCTCGGCTATATTAACCGGATTAGAATTTAAATTTTTTGGGAAAGAAGATAAGCATGTGAAGTCCCAAATTAAGGATTTCCCTAAAATATTTTATTTTATATTGATATATTGTTATCTATGTTTGTATATATCTGTCGATTCAAATTTTTAAATAATTTTTTTTTAAAAAAAAAGGAAATGTCTTTGAAAATTATATTATCGTCTGCCTTCTTGTTTCTTTAATTTTTAAATGTTCCTTTTTAAGGATTTAAGTAAGTTTATTTATATTACATTTTATATAATATTACAAAACGAAGAATAAAAAAGGTATAGAAAAAGCAAACTTGTTTGCGTTTTTTAAAATGGCCGCTAACGCCAAACGGTAATTTTACCAATTTGCACGAGGCCATTTGAAAGGCATTATTGGCGCTTGCAACGCAGCGTTTAAAGCACTCAATTTGTTCCCACTATAATACGTTGGTAATTTGCGGACTCCTTCAAATGAGCGCCCTGCCGCCCATATTTGACAAAATTCGAATCGGTCAAGATGGTCAGACATTTTTTCGGTCGGGTCGGACCGGGCCATATTTTCTATCAGTCCAATATTTTTCTTTAAATTTTGAGGGTTAAATTTTTCGAATAAGAATCGGATCCTCGAGGAATAGTTAGATCGGGTCAAACCGACCGGACCTGGAAAAAGCTCGATGCAGAGCTCCTCCTAGAAGCCATAAATTGTTTTTTTTACCATATCAAAATTTACTATTTATGTAACATTTTGAATATAACATATGCATGTTTTATTTAAGTAAGGACGGGCGGCTGGTAAGATCATTGTAAATATCATATTTCGTTTATTACATTAAAATAAAATCTGCAGACGTTAAAAAATTTAAAAAAATTATTTAATAATTATATTATTTACCTTAATGGCAGGTGTCAAGAGCGTTGCTATTTTAATGACTATATTTTTTTACCTGGAGGAGTTGTATAAATATTACATAATATTTCTCGGAGATATAAATTTTTTTTTTTGGCTAACGAGTATTTGAATGATTACTTATATTATATCATTTCTCATAAATATTTATATAAAATTTTAAATTATTTATTTACCCAAACAAAAAAAAATAGGCGGCAAAATTTTGATCGTAGGATATGGGACCGGGATAGGTGCATCAACCATAGCTATTCAAGGAAATGTCAGCCATATATACATTATCGAAGAGGACGAACAGTTATTCGAGTACCTCAAAGAGCGGGTGGAAGCGGAGTATCCCGATATCGTTACTTGTTACAAGGGGGCTTGGCAGGATAAGATAAAAGAATACGGAGAAAACGAATTTGACGGTTTTCAATTTATTTATTTAAATAAATTAAGATATTTATAATATATTGATATGTTTCGATTATAAGAATTCATTATACTTTCTCTAAAATCGTTTAATTAGCTAACTAGTAGTAAGGCGTCCTTATAATGGGAATCGTTGTAAAAATGTTCTCTTTCATTTCTAATAGAACTAAAAAAGGATCCTACTTTTTTCTTCTAAGAAAGTAAAAAATGAATACTAGGCTATTTTATTTTTATAGCAAACTCGAGGTTTCATATGGTAAAAATGCCTAAATGAAGTCCTATTTACGTGTGGAAATTCAGAACACATATCAAATTTTAATTTCTAGACATAAAAAATAATTAAAACCTTTATTGGCAACCCCAATATTACTGAAGGAAAAGGGATATGAAAGGCAACCCCAATATTACTGAAGGAAAAGGGATATGAAAGTGTTTGTTTTTTAAAAAAAATTGCGATATTTTAATCAAAAGTAAGATTATTCAACTATTTTTTTTTTCGGTCCTTATCAAGGAATGATTTATCCGACTTAAGAAAAATAATTATTAATATTTTTTTAAAATTCAGCTACAAAATTGGTATGGAAGTGTTCTCATCTTTTAAATGTTCCCGGGATTTATTTCTTGTCCGTTACCTTGTCTATTTCTTATTTTTTTGTGCCAAAGAAAGAAAAAGAGAATTTGGTTAATTGAATGTTTATAAAGATTTTACTCGAAAAATTTCGAAAATAAATATTGATCTTTTTTTTTATTCCATTTCAAGCGGAAATATAAATAAACTCTCTAAAACATTACACATCAAAGCCCTTATAAAAAAATCGTTATAATATAATAAATATCTAATTTATCTAAGTTTAAAAAACGATTACACTATTTTTATTAGATAGAAAATTTAATCTATCTATTATTAATTTTGAATGGTGAATCTTATTGGTTCTTACCTATAAAATAAACTAAAATGGAATCATATTTGATTTTTGATCCTTATCCCAAATTCCAAAATGATAAATAGTCATCCCGGTTCTAATATAATAATCCTTATTATTAAGGCACATAATTTTATTATTATTATTTTAAGAAAAATTGAAAATGGAGCATATCTATATCTAGAATGAAATTTGTTTATCTTTTTTATTATTATTAACCATATGGTCTTTATGCGTACTTTTTTTTTATAGATTTCATGACTGGCCCATTTAATTCTATTATATATACATATACTATTAATAAACGTTCTTTAATGATTTTGGGATTAACCTCTATTGGACATTATTATTTAGCGAATCCCGAATCCTTTTAAAATTTGTCACTTGAATCTCAGAGTCTGTAAATGTTATACCTGAACTGTTCTAAATAATATTTTATCAATCAAACTTTGATCGATTAATATCACTTTTCATGTTGAGGTAATCTTGCATATTACTAATTGATGGTGCCAGCTGGGTGATGTGCATCGGGCCTAATTTTTCAAGCCTGGCCCGTAATTTTTTTTTAAAAAAGTTTTGCCAGCCCGGCAGGAATCCGAAATTTTTTTAAAAAAATTTACCGACCCGGCTCGGCTTGAATTTATTTAAATATAGAAATTAATTTTTATAATTACTCAAGACATGTTTGTTATATGACGTTTAGTTTCAATAAATAAAATAAGATATTTTTATTTTACCTAAAAAATTCAATATAAAATTGATAAATTTAGATATATTTTAAAAAAATTTCAAAATCCGACCCGATCCGGCCCGAATTTTTTTTTTAAATATTAGGCCCGGCCCAGCCCGAACCCAACTATTTTAAATAGAATTAGGCCTCGGGCCTGCAGATCTCTAGAGCCAGCTACCCTAATCAGCATAATAGAAGTTTTCTCAACTATTCCCTCTCTCTTCTTTTTCTTTATATTATATATATATAATTTGACTTAAAAGATTCATAAAAATTACGGCTTAATTGTATTTTCAAGGAAAATAATTTAAATAACTATTTGTATAATATTATATATAGTCAATATTTTAAATCAGAGTTTGAAAAAAAAAAGATTTTTTCTCCAAAATTTTGACCAATTTTTTTTTGGAGATCACAGAAATTGAAGATTTTTTTATGCAGAAAAATCGCAAAAAAATCCATTTTAGACAAAATTTATGTAAATTAGCTTAAATTGTATCTTTAACTCAGGTTGGAAACAGGTTTTTAAAGGTAATCGACCCGGTAGAACCGTAATTTTTATTCGAACCGGTATTTGCTCTGGTTCGATTTCGTTTATATTATAATGGTCTATATCCATTTAAAAAAAATATATATTTATTGCCTTTACAAAATAAAAGATTATTCTCAATTATATTTTACAGTTGACAAGAGATCTAGATCCGGATATACCTATGTGAATATTTTAAAATCGACATTTTTGTACGTTTTTTTAATCTCAAAAGATATTCCGAATTCTGATTTTCTACCGGTGCCGGGTAGAATCCCAAACCCGGTGACCGTATTTGAAAACTAAATTTTCCTTATTTTATTTTAAATTTTTTTTAAAACAAGGCGTATTATACTACTCTCATCCATACATAATCACGCCCAATAAATCCGGTAACGACGATTCAAACGAGTCTCATTTCGATTTCATTTCCAAAATGGGGTACAGGATACTTAAAAAAGGCGGTCGTATGTCTTACTGCAATATCCGTTCCTGGGGAGACCATCTGAAAAACGATGTATATCAAAACAACGTTATGAAGATGTTTGAGGTAAAAAAGAAAAATAAATGACTTTAAAAATATAATTAAGAGAAGAAGAAAAATAATGGAATCCAGAGTTAGCGCGAATTTCGCTGCGTAATATACAAATTCGCGCTAACTGTGAATGCAGGGTAAGAGATATTTTTAAAACTTTATCTTGCCCCACCCGTTCTTTTTTTTTTGAAAAAAAATTAAAAATGCCCGAATCTCTGTTCCAGCTTGTAAGGAACTTTACCCGCTGAATTTCAGCATGCCGAAATTGTCTGATTCACTAGGTGGGTATTATTCTATCACAATAAGGATGAAAGTTACACCTGTTACATGAGAATAATGTGCCTTACAAATAGCGATGCGCAGGACCGTAAAAAAGGGATCGTGGGGGGATCTGGTTTACCTGCTCGATAAACCTGGAAAACCCGATAAATGATATAAGAATATGATGGTTGAAATGAAACAATATTCCTGCAAAATCTTAATATAAAAAAAAAATTTTTTTATAAAGGCACGCTAATTGATTGAAGTTTTTTTTAAAAAAAAAATTGAAAAATCTCGAAGTTTCTAAAACTCCACGACATATCGTCTTTGGCTGAGTACTATAGTGTTGTTCAGTAAAAATAAAAAAATGTAGATATAGGACACTATAATATTCAGACGACGATACACAATATTAAGGGTTAGGAACGATCATCTCTTTATATGCCCCACTAGAATAGTTATTACCCGACGTCTTTTAAATTACAGAAACGGATTATTATCAAACGTAGTGTTGTTAGACGGCTCAATTTAGGCCGATTTTTAAATACGGCTAACTCAATATTTTAGCTAGAAAAATATTTCATAAGCCTCGAAATTTCACTAATAAATGTCCAAATGTTTGTGGTATCTATGGGCATAGTCGTTAGGCTTGCGTAATATTTTTCTGGATAAAATATTGAGTTAGCCGTTTTTAAAAATCGGCTCAAATCGAGCCATTTAACAACACTAATCAAACTTTTTAAACATTTTTAAAAAAAATACAAATTTATATTTTTAAAATTTTATTCCTCAAATATTATAACATTATCTTCCCCAACTTCTAGACGTCCCAAGTAGAAAAACTGAAAAAGATAGGGTTTTCTCCCGAAAACATAGAAATAGAACTCGAAGACGTGTCAGTCCCCGAGGGATGCAAATACTATTCCCACGAACAAGTCATGCTAGTTAAGCTGACCAAATAAAATGTAAAGATTTCTTAACCCCATTTCATATTCATAGTTTACATTCAGTTTATTTACTTGTTTGTAAAATTAATCATCGTGTTATATTTTTTCCTAGTTTACCATCCTTTTCCCTTATGAAATATTATTTTATTATATATATATTATTATATTGAAGTTACAAATTTAATATAAGAACTTTATATATTAGTTTGCAAAATCTGTTTTTTTTCTTCAATATTTAGTTCAAAAAACTGTGTTTATTTATACATATATACTTTTTATAATATATACATGAATTTTATTTTAAATTACTTAATAAAAAATTTAAATATTTTTTTAGTTTTTTTTAAAAAAAAATTGTAGTTTTATAAATTTTATTTTATGCAATAGCAATCTGTTAAGTGACTTCTATTGATTTCTTTATATTATTCTCTTTAAAAAAAATATTCATTGGTGCATTCATTGGCATATCCTAAGTTCTACTAATAATGATTATATTAAGATTGTTATTATAAATATAAAAGAAAAACTATTATTCTCGACATTTTTATTTTTAGTAGTCACCAACTAAACCTGCGCATAATTAAATTTTTAAGTGTCTTTTTTTTCTTATCACACAAAATTTATTATATTATAGGTGTAGGTATATCGTTATACAAAACGAATTGTAAATAATATTTTTTTTTATATTATATATATATATCGTTAAAAATAATATTTCATTTCATATTTAATCATTTTTTTTAAAAAAATAGATTTATATTAATCATCACACATATAGATTACAAATAAAACTTAAATACAATAAATCTATCTCATATATTTTGACCCAGAAATTTAGTAATTTTTAAACATTTAACATTTTTTAAAAAAAAATTGTTTAAATTAAATATAGAAAATGATTAACATTTTTTTAACAATAAATTTGTATATTAACAATTGCACCTTTATAAACGAAAGTATAGCGATGATTTATCAGGGTAGCCCATGGAAAATAAATTCTGCGCTCCTTTAAAATTGCGAGAGAATATTTATAGATCTTCGACGAGGTGAGGGGTAAGGGTTTATAATTTTCTTTATTTAAGGCTATATCCTAAAATATCAAAAATACAATTAACAAAATAAGCTATTTTAAATGTAAAAATAAAATAGTGGGCTGAATCATTTTTTTTTTGAATCTACAAAAGTTATTAAGTTAGAGAAATTAAGAAAATTTTTAACTTTTTGAAAATAAATAAGTAAGCAATATTTATTCATATTTTTCAAATTATAATAACATTAGAAAAATGGGAAATATAAAAATAATTTGGTTGGGAATTATAAATTTACAAAATCTTAAAAAATTTTCAATGGATATTTTGGACATGGTTCATAATTTTATAAAGATACTAAAGCTTTTTTGAGGTTTTTTTGAAAAAATATATATAGGTCATAGCCTAAATTATATTTTAAATTCCAAACAATAATATTTATAAAATAATCTGCAATGTATTGTAATATTAATCATATAGCTAAGGACTTTCTTTTTGAAAAGTAACTTTTGACAAATATTTGAAAATAAACGTTTAAGAAAAAAATATAAATTATAATATTTTACTATCAATTTTTAATAAATCAACAATTCAAAATATTTTCCCTGATGAAGGGGAACTTTTCGTCGTTATAAACGGAATTCACTCTGTCAATGGAATTGAAGAAGAAGCAAAATGACTAGGGGAATTTTCTGGATTATTATATCGAATTCTGCAGCTTTCTCATCCCTAACGCTATTTGTAAAAGTTTTGGCAAAAAGGTCGCAAGTACAATTTCTATTAGCATCGCAAAGTTGAGAACGAATTTAGCTTTGGTGATTAATTTACGCTAACTGTATAAAGTATCCAGATTCAATGACGATTAACTCTGATAGGTAAGCTTTTAGATTAAGTTGCCTCGCTTTTTGTAATGCGAAATAATCATAGGGTTCGTCAGAGAGACCCCTTTTTAAAAAAAAATGCGAATAAGAAAATTCAACAATATCCTTGAAATATTTTAGATCAATAAATAATTTTTAATATTTGTATTGCAAAGTATATTGTTTAAATATTTTTGAATAAAATTAATGGTGTAATTTACGAAAAAAATATTTGAAATTTGAGGGATTTTTTTTTAGATAGCCCTATTAGTTAAATATTTTCCGCTGGTGGTACCACACTCACCTATTGTGGCATCATGAAGTAAACCGTGTTCTTTATACATTCAAGGGTTTTTTTTGCCTTCCTAGCAGAATTGTTAAGATTCTTTTTAAATGTATACAGATACATGGTCCAAAAGTATCTAGATACCCATACACTCTTGTAAAATGTATATCTGGTTACAGATATGATATTTCAAGATATTTTCGTATTGTATTTTTTTTATAGCCTTTACAGCATCTCTTTTGCGAGTTAAATTATTTATAAGGATCTAGGCATTCATAAGTTTCCAACTCTTTTAGTTAGCCCAAATAATTTTATGGCGAAAATATTATCACCCCTATCAATGTTTATCTACCAATTTTTAGTTAAAAAAAAAGACTTTCTGCACTCGATCCAAACAAACTCGGACTGACATTTTATCGATTCGATTTGGACCTTGATTTTTAAATTAATTTGGACCAGATGGGACACGGATCTCGAGATTTTTTATCAGAATTAATTTATAAAAAATTGTTTAATATCCTTGAGCTCTCTTAAATTTTTCGTATTTCGTGCTATTTCAACTGTTCCAAAGATAATGGAATCATTAGAAAGGTAAAATCCTGAAGCAAATCTGTCAGACCTTAAAAAAATAGGTATAATGCAAGATTTGCTCCAAGGCCACATTTATAGTGAGCTCGATTTGTTCAAGCGATGCGAAATTAACTAGCCAGCGAAATCACAGCTGATTCGTCAGAGCATCGTGAATTTCATCATTTGGCCCCGTATCTATAAATTATTACCTATTATTGGCTTACTTTAGTGAATTGCTCAGCGATTAACGTCACATTGCTTGGGAACGCGCTTACTATAAATACAGCGTGAGATATATCTTAATCTATAAAATAATTAATAGTTTTTAGGGTCGCAAATCAGCAAACTCTCAGAAGAACCTCGAGAAGGGTTTTTTCTTCGACATAGGTTGGCCATATCTCTTTAAAGCGAGCTAAATCGGTTTTAATGGTAGTCTACTAGCTAAAAAGCTATCCTAGACTCTTTCTACTTCAAAAATAATAAAACATTAGAGTAAGTAGGAAAAGAAAACTTTAAAAAAATAAGGAAACAGCTGAGTATGAAAATAAAATTTTGTTTATCAAAAAATTCAATTTATTTTAAAATTTAAACCTTTTTTTTAAATTGAATAAAATGTTAAAAAACCAATTCATTGTTCGTCCAAAAATATAATGAATATTGTTTACATTCATGAATAGAAGGCCGTTCATATTTCATTTTTTTTAAACGGCCATTTAATTCCTAAAGAATATAGAGGGGAAAATTTTTTTCTTTCAAGATGACCTAAAATGTATTTATTATTTTTTCAACCGCTCCAGAAATGCAATCGATAGGAATGGAAAATATGCAAATCCAATTTTGTGTCAATCAATAACTTAGCATGGTGGGGGGGGGAGCTACTGCTTAAGATTTGGAACATTCGAGAACCACACAACCGGTAAGGTTAAACATCAAATCAAAATCATAACCCGAATTTCAGCTTAATAATTATATTCTAAATTCACCTGCAAATTTAGAAGTATGAACAAAAAAAAATCTCATTTTCAGGGACCTGAACTTGAAGAAATTTTGGAACGTGGGAGGAATGGTGATGCCGGCAGCATTTCTGGAACGTTCTGAATAAAATAGGAACGCCAGGTCCCAGCTTATCTTAAATTAAACCAATTAATAACTTTGTCATTATTTTTTAAAATGTTTAGGCTCAAATTCTTAAATAAAAATTTATGGAGAACACTACAAATCCAGGATGTAAGAGCCAGGTCAAACCGGTAATTGGAGAAATAGAAACTCCCTCACCCCAAATAATATATCTAGAAACAAGGATTTTTAAAAAAAATGGTAAAGGAGAAGTGCCATGACTGGCCATGATTACTTTTTTTCTTCTTCAAAAATAGGGGGCTATACAAAAATTGAATTAGAATCAAAGCTTTATTCTTTAAAAAAAATTTGATTTAAATGAGTTTATTTTAAAAGGTATTTTATTTTTTGTTTTGAATGGCCCCATACTCGCTATTACCTGGTCCATTTTAAGGAACTTCTGCCCTATATCGCAGATGAGATCAGAACATTAAAAGATTAGATAAGGCGAAAAAGAAAATATTTTTTTATTTTTGGGGAATCCCATAATAACTCCCTATATACTATAGGAAATAGACTCCTGCAAAGTCATTTGATTGACATTTCTGAACCGGAACCAAAACGAAAAATGGCGAAATCTTTACTCATTTTGCTAAAATAAATTTAATAAGGTTTTGTGTAATTATAAATATTTTTATTAATTTGTCGCACAGGTTCATCAAAAAAGTGTGATTTCTTTTTAATCAATTTTTTAGAAGCTTGTTGCAAATGGGAAAGGCTTGGAATGGTGGAGCGTAGTAGCTATTTCAAAATCATCAACATATATTGATGAAATTCTTTACAAATTATTGTATTTAAAATATAAAATTGAAAACTAAATTTTAAAAAAATTTCAATTTATTGCCTTTATGCCACATAAGTAAAACGTTATTAATTAATTTTATCAAATAATAAACATTTTAGATATCTTTTTTCTTATGTATTAAAAAAATGAGTACTCGATTTAAAAAGTATAAGAAAGTATACATTTTCAATACCAATACATAAAATATATCGGACTGATATAAATATACATTTTAAAAGTATATTAGATACAAAAACGTGTCAAATCACTTTAGCAATTCCGAATAGACAACATTGTAATTTCGTGTAAATGCGAAATGTTTTTTTCATGTAAATGGGTAGTATCAATTCATTTTACAAAATGGGGTGCTGAGCAATAATTAACCTGCCTAGTGCAATTATCCATGCCTTATATAAAACTTGAGCTGATATAATTTGGTATGGCTAAAAATAAGTTTTGCCATTCTATTAACCTGTTTAGAATAGAGAAATTATCTAACTAGACCCAATTACTTTCAAGTGGAATTTTCTTTGTGTTATCCTACCCAGGTAAATGGATATTTTTTGTTCAAGATATAGCTGTATATTTATATGATTGATCACTCATTCAAATTAAATAGGATTATTATTTATAATCTAATCATACATTAAAAAAGTAATGGCTGATAAAATATTTTTTCAAAAATAAATAGTGACACCAATCTGATGCCACTTTTAATTTTAGGCTGTAGAAACCATATCGAACTATAATAGCTTTTATAATTGCCCCTAAAATGTAACTTAACCAAACCTTTATAAATAAATACCTTTCTTGTTGAATACACAAGTAAAATGGCATAATACAATATAAAACAAATAAGAGAAAACCCTTAAAATGTTTATAAACAATCCATAATATATTTAAATTTCAAGATTAATTAATAAAAATTGAATTTTATGCATTTATAAATTAAATATTATTACGGGGTAACAAAATACAATGTTAATTCAAAAAAAATCTACTCTTTGGCTCATATAATGTTAAGCTTTAGTAGAGAGCAAGTTTTTTTTGCCATTAAATTATAATAATTCCCTTCAAGGATAAAAAGATTTTATTCTACAAGTATAAGATAAATGTTTATATTATAAAATAATATATGCCTTCTTTTGAATGAGAACAAAGA